CTCCCACAGAGTGGGTCTCCTCAGGGTGCTGTCAGCCAGACAGTGCCGGCTGGCGACCCCCAGGGGGAGGGCCTTCTCGGTGGGAGCTCCCACCCTCTGGAACGAACTACCCCCAGAGATCCGGGTGATCCCGGATCTCCCTTCCTTCCGCCGCGCCCTTAAGACATGGCTCTTCCAACAAGCGGGACTGGCCTAGGGGCAATTTTTAGTGGGGTTTTAAGAATAATTTTAAATTGACACAGGCCACATCAAATATTTCATTTTAATCAGGTTTTAAAGTGGGTATTTTTATCTTTGTATTTGTTTTATCAGGCTGTCAGCCGCCCCGAGTCCGTAAGGAGAAGGGCGGGATAAAAATCCAAACAATAAATAAATAAATAAATAAATAAATTGTCTCACCCAGCAACTTTCTCTTCTTGCTCCTCATAACATGTTTGAGCACAATTGCTCACAGATGTCAGCATCTCTTATCAAATAATAGTTATGTTGCTAATACAATTCCGTGTCTTTGCTCGTGATTTAGCTTCTAAGAAAACAATGCCTTGAAAATACCTCTTGGAACTCTACATATGTTATTTCCTTGTTACACATAGCTGGCTTAGCCCTGTTCCTTGTTACACATAACTGGCTTGGACAAGTGAGTTCCTTGATTTACTTGCTTATTTCCCTTTTTAAAAAAATATGTGTTAGTTTAAAACACAGTATCTCCTTAACTATTTAGAAATTAGAATAATGTTTGACGTAGATGTCCAGGACAAATTCATGTTTTAAGTTTGAATAGAAATTTGATACCTTCACCCCTTTATATATATATATATGCACATACATACACACAACTGAAGATTCAAATATGGGAACCTAAATTGCGGTAAAATTTCAGTCTGAACCTCAGTTTGGTTCCTGTTAATTATTTCATAAAATTGCCAGCCTGTTTACCCCTTTAGTTTATTAACCACTGAATAGCTGCTGCTCAAATTATGATGCAATAAAATATAGTTTAAATTTCCATCATCCTTACGAAAAAGAAGATGTGAGTACGCCATTCATGCCCAGCTCTTTGCAGGATTAAGATGCAAAATCTACCCTGGTAAAACCTTATTGCATATAAGACATTGGATTGTTTATAAGGGCTAGGGATTGAAGGCACTGTGGTTCCATTCCTTCCTCATGCGGTGGTTTCAGTCTGTGGTACACATGAGAGATCAGCTTGGTGCAGTGGTGAGATTCAGCCAGTTCACACCACTTCAGCAGAACCGGTAGCTAATTTTTTTGTTGCCCAGGCCCAGAATGGACTTCTGGAAGCAGCATCCACACAGAGAACCGGTTGTTCACATATTTGAATCCCACCACTGGCTTGTTGGTCTTCCCAATGTGGAGTCCCACTGAGGTTGGCTATAGCTAGAAGGGCTTTTGCCCAGCTTCAGTTTTTGCATCATGACCTTACCTGGTGTAGGAGGCAAGTTACAGGAGCTCATGCTTTCATTACCACCCAGATAGACTCAACATACACGTAGTGCTCAGCTTACAATCACAATTGAGCCCAAAATTTCTGTTGCTAAGTGAGACATTGTTGAGTGAATTTTGCCCCATTTTACGACTTTTCTTGCCACAGTTGTTAAATGACTCACTGCAGTTGTTAAGTTAGCAACATGGTTGTGAAGTGAATCTAGCTTCCCTATTGACTTTGCTTGTCAGAAGGTCGCAAAAGGTGATCTCATAACTCTGGGACACTGCAACTGTCATAAATACAAGTCAGTTGCCACACGTCTAAATTTGATCAAGTGACCATGGGGGATGCTGAAATGGTCCTAAGGGCAAAAAAATGATCATAAATCACTTGTTTTCAGTTACTTTGAACGGTCACTAAATGAGCTGTTGTAAGCCGAGGACTTCCTGTGCTTTGCATAGTGTTGCCCTTAACAATTATTTGAAAACTGCAATTACTCCAGAATGCAGCAGATTTGGTAGCCCCAAAGAAAGCAAGTATATGAATACACACATACACACACACACAAACACACATATTTCATACACAAACTGACAAAGTGAAACTGTGAGACTGCTTAAAAATGAAGATTCGGCACAACAGATTATATAATTTATTTCTCTTTGGTGATTCTGATTTTCATATTAACTCAATGTATAGGCACAAGCTAAAACGTAACTATTTCTAGTCCTGTCACAGCTCAAACTATAATATTTGCCTTTCTTATAGTTGTTTGAAAGAGGGCTTTTTCCTGATTTCATCTTATATCCTTACATTTATTACTCTCAGAAGAATTCTGTTGAGATATAATAAAAAGTATGATTTTTTAAAATAAAAGATTGCAGTAGTTTGGGGTTTTTTTTCTTAAAAAAAACTTTTTAAAACTAAGAACCATTCAGTAGCTTGTGTTATTTCTCCCTCCAATGGTAATGTTAGGAAGTACAGTTACTATAACTATTGTGAAAGTCTTGCTTAGTACCCTATATTTTACTTTACAATGTGACTTCAGAATCTTCTGTCCGTCACTTATAGTAGTGTTTCCCCAAGTTTGTTACTATAAATGTGAAATTATAAAAAAAAACCTATCATATAGCTTTATACTAACATAGAGTTGATGTTGATTTCTATCCATGTTTTCCAACCTAGGATGAATAAATTAGAAACAGATTATATATTCCACTCACCAAATTTAAGGATACATGAGATACTTTTCTTTCAACCTTAACCTCCTTCTCAGCCTGGGCCAAATGGAGCACTGCAAAACCCTGTCTTCTTCTGTGCTGCTCTATTTGCAGAACCACGTGGTACTGTTTAGTTCACACCTTTACACTGCATTAAATGTAATAATAATGATTGGATTCACACTGCCCATGGATGTGAGAATCCACAAGCATCCTGGGTGAGATGCTTCTAAGCCACTTAGGACAATTGTCACCAACATGGCACCACTATTGTCCTTTGTCCTAAGACTCTTGAGGATTTTCTTTTCATGCACAGTCACTGTCTTACCAGGGATACTGAGAAATAGAGGCTACAACTTGTAAAGTGCTAGAAGTGCTAACAAAAAGCATTTCTGCCCTACTCACTTACTCCTGCCCTGAAGTTAGTTTCCTAGAAAAGAGATGTTGGCAGAGGGTGTTCTTTTGATCACACTATCCTTAAGCCTTTCATGAAAGCACATTTTGAAATCTCACAAAAGCTCATACTAGTTCCAGGTTGAGGGCCAGATCCAGGGATTTAAAAACCCTCTCAGGCCATTGGAAGAGACACTGGAGGCCACCTTCTCTCACTTGTCAGCTATGGAATCACTAGAGCAGGGGTCTTCAAACTTGGCCCTTTTATGACTTGGGGACTTCAACTCCCCAAATTCCTCAGCCAGCTGAGGAATTCTGGGAGTTGAAGTCCACAAGTCGTAAAAGGGCCAAGTTTGAAGACCCCTGCACTAGAGCAACAGAAAGGAAGGCAAAGTTGCTGGGGGGAAATTTTGCAGAGGCAAAAATTTGAGAAATAGTTCCTCAAAATGCTAATTTTGTCCATGAGAAGACGATTTGAGCTTGAAATGTGTCTGTTTGCCTCCCAACTCACACTTTTTTGGACTTACAATATGAAGAACTTAGTTTTATAATTGAACATTGAGTTTTAATTCTCCAGATTTTCCAACAAATTTCTAATGAATTTTAATTCTCTAGAACATTGTTTCTCAACCTAGGCGGCCTTAAGATGTGTGGACTTCAACTTCCAGAATTGGCTGGGGAATTCTGGAGGTTGAAGTCCACACATCTGAAAGTTGTGGTTTGACACATTATTCTAGGATTTTCCAACTCGGTTCTTTTGTGTCTGGAAAGTGGAGGAAGCACTAAAACTTTGGTGTGGACCTCTTAATTCTGGAGTCTCCTTTTGGTAGCTTTTGAAATCCCATCTGAGTGCAGTTCCTGAAAACTGACAGCATACTTTCTCACTATTTTCAGGTAGGAAATAGATAAAACCTAGTAGCTACAACCTAAAATACGCATATCACATTTTTCAGAAATCAAATTAATGTATCCAATCAAAGCTTTGCCTATAGAATTGATGAGGCCTCTCACCACCTCATTTGCAGTCCTTAGTCTCTCCAAATTATGAAATACAGCACATGATTGCCAAAGGCTACATTCTCTGTGATAGGCATATTCTGAAGGAAGTAATGGTTATCAATCGAGATGTTTATATTTTACTTGTTGACAATCATGGATCCAAAGATGGGAAAATGGGGTTATAGTGGATCCTGCAAATAAATAGTTATTCTCACTTATGTTCTGATTAAAGTTGATACATACTTAAAGACCCATAGGTAATGTGAAAGTTTTCTTCATGATCCCCATATGTTAAACCTGGCCTAGCTTCTAAAGAAACTATACATTTCAAAATGTGTTTTTCAAATTCGTTTTAATTTAAACATTTAGGTACTCCCAGTGATTGCATAAATCGTTTATCATATGCAAGAAGAAAATAGCCATTAAAGAAGCCTACATATTTTTGATTTAGTGGAGTGTGGCAAAAGAAAAACAGAAAGAGAAGCAAGCAGAACATCAGCATGTCTTATTTTCCATAAAGCAGATTAAAACAGGAACAATGAATAATTACACTGCACCTCAAGTTCAGATTTGTATCATTTCTTTGGGTATCCTGAGTTATCTTTTAAGTATTTGCAGTATTGGGGATAAGATGGGGTGTGGTTATACAAAACAAAGAGCTTTGAAGCCCTATACAAGCTGAATTAACTCTTAATTCCCATGCCATTTTCATGCTCTGATTCAACCTTTCCCATATCGTGTAAATAGTTGTCTTTGTGAACTATTACTTCTTAATCATTCTTAATAGTATGCTTCTCTTTCTTCTCGGTTCAATATCTGCTGGTGGGCCACCACCACTTCCTTCATCTACTGGAACTTCTGCACCTGGTCTCGTTGGGTTATAATAAAACGGAACAAAATAATATGGTTGTGTGTCAACTGAGCCAATCGAGTTGGGATACAAATATTTTACCCAGTTCAGATATGCATTTGCATAAGTTTCATAGTTCTCATATGGAATTTGAGGATCCTGTGAAAATAGAAAAAAAAATTCACTGTATCATTTCCTTCCCACATAAATGACAGATTAAAATACTGTACCTATTCTGAATGGAACAGATTCTGAAAATGCCACTTTAGAATCCTGAAAATTGTTCAGACCATTGATATCACACTTTCCATCAGGACTTTCAAAGTTTCTGAATTGCCTGATCACACCAAAATTATGTTTATATTCTTTGTATAATAGATCAGCCACTGCCAGATAAAATTTAGCAGACCAGGGCAAGTCTTTATCATCAGATTTCTCGTGCACTGTATTATTTATTTGATTTTAAAATTGATAGAAATTCACCGGATTGGATCTAGGATGGTCATTCTTGTCCACGTTTTCAAAGATGATATTATTTTTCTGCTAATAATTTAAGAGCCTGCCATATCTACAGCAATGGCAGAATTTTGAAGAGCCTTTTTTAAAAATGCTTCTTGGAATGAACATGTGATGGTGCAATATTATGTGATTATAAGCCTGTTCCAAGGAGTACCTAGAAACTTTTATTTATTGAAGAGCCTAGCCAGTTTTTTTTCAGTGTTAAGGGGAAAAAGGACATCTCATCACCTTGAAATATTTAACAACGGCAACCCCTTTCCAGCAATATTCTGGGGATAGATGGATGGTTCCATCTGAGATCCATTGAAATGAAATACCCAAGTTCATTACCTATCAAAATTTTCTCTTTGTATCTACATATCACAGCCACACTTGATGCAGCTTCTTGTGAACCGGTATTTCTACATCAAACATTCAAACATTTAGATCAAAGCAAGTAAATTAGCTTGTAAAAATAGTGCAGATATTATACTCACGAGGAAATGAGAAACACCCACAGTGAAAAATAAAGATAACAGTAATGGAACGATGACTCTCATCTTCTAAAGATATGTCTGACAGGGATTAAAAGAGAGAGAGAGAAAGAAAATCAGGTCAATGACAAAATGGAAGTGCCAATTGCACCCATTAATAGAAACATTTTCTTAGTCACATAAAAAGATAAGATACGAATTTGCTGGCAACTGCAGTTCATGGAACATGGTAAAATGGCCTCAAGGGCTGAACAGGATGGTAAGCCGCATTCTGTAAAATGAAAAGGACTAATACTATATTTGCCAGCAATTTGAGAAATGCCTAGAAAAAAAAAACAGGTTCCTTCAGGTGGCATTCATGGCTGAACAGCTGTCTCAATCTGAGAAAGATTGAGAATTTTTGTTCGCTACAACGAGGATCTACATATCTTCTATTATTTGTCAATCAAAAATAGAGTGGGGTAATTGCCCCCATTAGGAGAGATGCAATAGAGATGAGGGAACAAATGCAATCTCAGTTCCTGATTGAAAATGGGTCCTATCTATTGAAATCAGGATGTAGGCACCTTTGCTTCTTTTCAAATATCTGTTCCTCTTCCCATTCTTAACCACTTTCTCTTATCTTTTTTCTTAAGGATTTCATATACAGTGTCTCAGAAAAGCTTCAAAGAAAGCACTCACTTCTGAAACTTTGTGATTTCCAAGAATGCTTCTAGGCTTATATATGCCCAATAGATTTTTTTTAAAAAAAAAAAATAAAGAAATGGGTTGCTGCAACAAATCATGCCAATCAGATCATGCCAAACAGGTCATGACAAACCAAATCTTATTTCATTCTTTGACAAAGTGATTAAATTAGTAGACCAGCGAAATTTTGTGGACATAGTATACTTAAATTTCAGTACAGCATTCGACAAATTAGACCACAACCTACTTTTTAGTAAGCTAGGAAAATGTGAGATAGATAGCATAACCACCAGATGGGTTTGTAACTGGCTGACAAATCGTACTCAATGAGTAGTTCTTAATGGTACTACATCTACATGAAAGGAAGGAAGCAGTGGGGTACCACAAGGTTCCGTCTTAGGCCCAGTACATTTCAATATCTTCATAAATGACTTAGATGAGAGAATAGAAGGGAAACTCATCAAATTTGCAGATGGCATTAAACTGGTAGGAATACCCAACACTCCAGAAGACAAACTTGACAGACTTGAACAATGCGTTCCTATCCAACAAAATGAAATTTAATGTGGAGAAAAGCAAGGTTTTATACTTAGGCAGGAAAAACCAAAGGTACAAGTACAGATTAGGCAAAACGTGGCTCAAAAACAGTAGTTGTGAGAGGGACCTTGGAGTCCTAGTGGACAATCACTGAAAGCCAGCAGTGTGCGACAGCAGCCAAAAAAGTGAATACAATCCTTGGTTGTATAAACAGAGGCATAGAATCAAAATCAAATGAAGTATTAGTACCGTTTTATAAAGCTTTAGTAAGGCCACACCTGGAATACTGCATTCAATTTTGGTCACCACATTACAAGTGGAGAGAAGAGCAACTAAGATGATAAAGGGCCTGGAGACTAAAACATACGAAGAATGGTTGCAGGAACTGGGTATGGCTAGTCTAGAGAAAGGACTAGGGGTGACATGATAGCAGTATTCCAGTATTTGAGGGGCTGTCACAGAGAGGAGGGGGTCAACTTATTTTCCAAACTACCAGAGGGCAGGACAAGAACCAATGGATGGAAACTAATCAAGGAGAGAAGCAACATGGAATTAAGGAGAAACTTCCTAATAGTAAGAATAATTAACCAGTGGAACAGCTTGCTTACAGAAGTTGTGGGTGCTTCATCACTGGAGGTTTTTAAGAAGAGATTGGACAGCCACTTGTCTAAAATAGTATAGGGTCTCCTGATTGAGCAGGGGGTTAGACTAGAAGACCTCCAAGGTCTCTTCCAGTTCTATTCTGAATTATTTTGTACCCACTCTTTTGCTCAAAAGTGTATCCACCTACTTAAAAATAAAGCAAAAATAAGCCAAGGAAGGAATAAATCTTATCAGGATTTGGATGTGGACTTGTGATTGATCATAGCACCCTAGTTCTCATTTTGTAACATATTCTTCAATCTCCAGAGTGTATACTCATATCCAAAAAGGTTATCTATCTGTGACCCAGTTGCTTATGTGAACAGCAGAGCAAGGAGAATAGCAGCTGGGTTGCTACCTAGAACTGTTCCTGGTCATGCAAGCCACATACAGATTGAATTATTGCAATGTGTTCTAGATGAGATTGCTACTGAGTTTGGCTTGGCAATCTCAGTAGCTGGTGCAAAATAAAAGAGGAGCTTGGTTGTCAAAGATGCAGCCCACTGCAAACCTGATGTTTATCTGTTCAGAAAGCCCTCTGCTCCCCCCTCCCCAGTTGCTGCTGAGATAAAATCAAGAATATTTGGATATCTGGCAAAGTGTTTACACCATTATATTCCCTCCTATCCACTAAAAATCATAGGGATACATTCCTGGTATTTTGATATCTACCAGAATTTTATTTTATTTATTATTAAATTTCTACACTACACATCTCACCTAAGTGATTCACAATTTTATCCTGTGGTGAGCCCAGAGATATAAACAATTCAGTTGTGGAAATCCTTCCTTGTTCCTTTATGGTTGGTGTTGTGTCTTAGAAGCTTCTGATACTTATTTATGATATGGGTCTAAGATTCTGGTTATTTAGAAATACTGTGAGATTCAGTCTGAGTCATATTGTTATCCTATCTCAGTTTTAAGGAAGTTTTGGTTTTAAATACATTTTTAGACTTTTCCATTGTAACTGGGTTCTTAATTGGTTTGAACCCCCAGACAAAAATCCCAGTTTGGGATTACTTTTCTTTTTTTAAAGCAGTGAAATAGGAGATATAAAGTTTATAATTAAAACAATCTGCTTATTCTGCAAAGACCAAGATTCCAATTTCCCTTTAGAAGAAAAACAGTGAAAGTTATATAGATTTTGTACAACGTTAGAGTCAACAAGCAGAAATAGAAAGCCAATTTGTGAAAAAAGGACATACCTAGTTATGGGTTGATCCTACTTTCTATAGCACTCCTAGAAAATCTGAATGACCGCTGTAGTTTCACTGCCCCATTGCAGCCTTCATCATCTGTCTCAAGTTCTTTATTATCCGTTGGTCCAGAGTTGTGTGAACCACAGCAGAAAGGACAGAAGTGCCTTCAAGACAACATTGCTTCATTTTTATAAGCCTAAATCTGCAAGTCTGATTCACACAAAGAGGCCTTTTCAATTAAGGTCATGGAGCTGTGGTCCACTGGGTAAGCCATAAATCTTGAGGGTCCAGGAACTAAAGGTTTAATTCCTCATTAAGCTGACCAAGTGGTATGGCTTATCTTGAAAAACGAGTGAAGGCTGTAAATTAGGGCTTGCATTTGTCTTATTTCTTTAGAGAAGCAGGCTGTTTTTCTGGATTGTTTAGCATTCTTGTGGTAATAAATTTCCCCTATAGCATTCTTGTGGTAATAAATTTCCCCTATTCACTTGCCTTGTCCTAGAAAGAAACTGGCCTCTTGAGTCAGATGGATCGTCATTTAAGTTTCAGCATCTTCAATGGAACCCACAGTTGGTCAAGATTTTTGACATTGCATGATTTCCTCCATGTTTTTATAAGGTGAGCTCAGCTTCAGAATTCAGTTTTTGCTGCATCTATGACCTGCTTTTCCTCGGACAACTCTAGCTCACTGTCATGGGGTTTTCTCTTCATTTTGTTCCATAATAACCTGTGAGGGAAACTGATCTGAAAGTAACTGGCCCAAATTCCAAGCTGTATGTTCCTTAGTCAAGTGGGAATTTAATTCTTTCAGGCCTACTCCCATCACTGAATATTGGTCCAATTCCAGTGTCACATTTTACAAAGGATTTTAATAAACAGAATTGCATCCAAAGGGAAGCCACTAAGAATATTATAAGGAATAATTGAAGCATTAGTATGTACAACAGAAAGTTGCAGGAAGACATGAAAAGTATCTTCAAGTCCTTGAAGAGCAGTCATCTAGAACAGGGCTTTTCAACCAGTGGTACGGGTACCACCTGTGGTACATTGGCATCTGGCAGGTGGTACGCGACCATCCTAGAAAAGTGGTAGCGGGGGAGGGGAATGAGCTGAACCGGCAGCACCGCACCAGCCTGAGCAAGAGATGGCTGGAGCTGCAGGGCTGTCAGGGCTCAGCGGAAGCGCCAGGATCAGTGCCGCTTTCCAGCTGATCGGCGCTTCTTCGGGGCTGTCAGGGCTCAGTGGAAGCAACAGGATCAGCACCAGGCTCCAGCTGGAGCTCGGCGCTGATCCTGGTGCTTCTGCTGAGCCCTGAAGAAGCACCAATCAGCTGGAAAGCAGCACTGATCTTGACACTTCTGCTGAGCTGGAATGTTGCAGTATCTCCAGAGTCTTGTGATTTACATTCAGATGCTTGGCAACTGATTCATATTTATGATGGTCACAGTGTGCCAGGGTCATGTGAAGTGACCAAAACCTGCTGCAACCACCCAGCAGATGGGGGGGAATAAAAACCAAACACCCACCCCACCCCCGCTGCCAATCCTTAACAGAAATGCTCACAACAATGAAAACCTTGGACAGGAAGAAGAGGGCCACCGGGCGCTGTCTTGCTCAGCTGTGGCTTGGGGGGCACTTTTTTCAGTGCCATTGTAACTTCGAACAGTCACTAAGCAAACTGTTATAAGTTGAGGACTACCTGTACTTTATCACTTTTTTCCTTTTTTTTGGGTCATCAAGTTTTTGACACCTTGCTAGGCGACTGGTGGTACTCGGATGTTGCCATATGCTAAAAGTGGTACAATGGGTGAAAAGGTTGAAAAGCCTGGATCTAGAAGACAGAATAGAATTGTTTAAAAGTGTTTCAGAACATAGAACAAGAAGCAAGATGTTTGAACAACAAGGAAGTATACTTATTCATTAAGATTAGTTATTAGTTTTGTACATCAATAAAGCAATTGGAAGACTCAAAAAAATAACTCTGATAGGATCCCCCGTGCCAGCAGTTTCTTTGTGAAACTGCTCCAAAAATGCCCCATTTAACTGATTTCCAGAATACCATTAGTGTGGCAATTGATATTCCAAAAAAGAAATTGTGCTATAAAACAGGGAAAAACTCAAAAAACAACCTCTATCTACCACCTTTTTCATAAGGGTAGGGAACCCCTTATAGTTTATCTCAGCATGCGTATGCAGGGCAGATTGATTCTGGCTGGATAAAGTTGTCTGGAAGCAAACAACGTAGGTAAGCTAAAACCAGGATATTGAATGGCAACTGCAAACCTCAGGGAAGCCATATTTGGTTTTTAGGACTACATGGCAATGATACCTCTATCCTACCCAAAAGATAGGGCACTGCAGTTTGTACCATCTGCAGTTTCCTGTGAGCCTTCAAAGGCAGCCCCATGTACAGTGTATTGCGGTAATCCAGGTGCATGGTGCTAAACACAGGAGTTACTCTTGCTTGGGCCCAGTTAGACATCAGGAAACATTTCCTAGCTCTGCAACAGACCTCCTTGATTTTACTTTCACTGGATATGTTGGGTGGCCATTTCTTGAAGATGCTGTAGTAGTAAACTCTTAAACTTAATTTACCAAGATCCATTTCAATCTATAATTCTCTGAATAAATCTCAGAAATATCTTCTTTCCATATCTTTGTTGAACTTTCATGTTATCTCTGATGTTACTCTTCTCTAGAGAAACAACTGGTTTAAGCAACAGCACAATGAAATTTTCCAGAGAAGTTTCATCACCTTTCTTAGATATCCCTTTTGGGTGGAGAAGTGACATCAAATGTACTCTGTACATGATACAATTGTCTCCTGTGGAGAATTGGGAAGATTATACTCCTTAATCCAGCATTTGGTCTCATTCCCCCTCTTCCTTGTCCCATTTGCTAAGAGAATGGGCCATTCTTGAATTAAGATGATAAAACTGGGACGACAAGAGAGTTTCTACACTTGGGTTTTTAGAGCTTAGAAATGGATTTTGCCAAACCCTGAATATTAAAATAATGTCGGCTGTTTCAGATTTTCGACTATGAGGCAAAGAGGAATCCCTGTAAAACAAAGCAGATTGAACCAGGAAGTGATGTTTTATAATATTGTAGAAAGGGAGGATATAAAAAAGGAGGTATGTTTTACTTTATAAAATACTTGGATAGTGAGTATGTTGGGTGGGAGGGAGAAGAATTGAGTCAACTGACTTAAAGATTTACTGTTTAATCACAGGAATAATTCAGTTTCTGTCTCTCAATCAAAAGGTTCTTCCTCAAACCGAATTAAAGTTCTCAAACTAACAGAACACTATACTGGCATAAAATGTGTGGTCTCCACTGGGAATCCTTATCCAGCATAGGCTCAATGCCAGCCAATGTGTGGAATGCAGGGCACATTAAGGAAAGAGATTAATAGTTTTCCACAACTTTTCTTTTCTTCTCTCCAGCCAAATGCCATCAAGGTGTAGGAAAACACTCACCATTCATTCTCCCTGATGTGGGATGGACATGGGGCTAGAGTGGAGGAGAATTTAGACAGATGGAAAGATAGGCAGGCATAGCCCATTGTCAGAATTCATGCTGGATTGGCACCAATGGCTTATGTGAGACATTCAGCTTATAGCTCGGCTCTTTGGAGAAAGCCTTAATGCAATCCTGAAATAGCTCTATCCTGCAGTACTACTAAACCTATGTTAAAAGAAGTCTAACACCAGCTGATTGTTGGGCTCCCTTTAAATGCACCAACAGAAAATTCTTAGATGGAACCTTATTCCTCTGGATTCTTTGGGATATACATTCAGTGCTCTTCCAAAAGAGGGCTAAAGCTATCGTCAAACACAACTCAAGCAATGGCTGACAATCATGTTGACGTTGTGCCACGAAGCAGTAGAGAAAGTGATGAAGATCTCTGTCCTGCTTCATCCTATGGACACCACTGCTCAGCTGTTACTCACACTGATCTGGATCTCTAAGCAAGAGACAGTTTTGAAAGTGGGCAAGTACAGGAGGGAAGACAGTGGATCATACTCTGCTTAAAGCAGAATGGCTGGAAAGAAAGTGCCAAGGAGACAGAACAGGGCAGGCATGCTGGACGGATTCTACTCACTAGAGGTCATCTGACTGCAACATCAAAAAGAGCCAGCTTGGTATAGAGGTTAAGATGTTGACCTGGGAATCAGGAAATTCCAAGTTCTAGTCTAGTTCTAGTCCCCCCCCCCAGCCTTTTCTATAATAATTAAGCATATCAGCACAACTCAAAATCAATGTTTCACTTTTTTCATAAAGCATTGTTGCTGTTGCCAGCATATATAACAGCAAAGTTCCGGATCTTTCTTCCAATTTTTCAAGTCCATTAAGCTTAAAAAAGAAGTATCTTGTTTGATTTTTATATTCACTTTAAGAATCTTCTGAATTAAAATATGAATCTTAACACAGTATATATTTTTTTGCTTTATCACAGGTCCACCAAAGATAGTAAAAGTTTCTTCTTTATATTTACATTTCTAATATTGCATTTGCAATACCTTTATACATCTCTGACAATTTGTCTTTTGCTAAATACAAACAGCACATCACTTTAGAAAAAAATTCTTTTAAATTATAATTTAATGTAAATTTTAAACCCTTCATCCACATGTTTTCCCAATTTCAAGCATTATATTATACCCAAACGGCCTTGCCCATTCAATCATGCAGTACTTCAGATATTAATTCTCTAAATTGAGTTTCAATTACAGTTTATAAGTCTTGGCAATAACGTGTTCATCATTACCACACAGTACAATTCCAAATTCATTTTTTACAAAGTCAAACCCCTAACTTTTAAAAACTAATTTAAACTTTTCTTTCAGTGGCAAACTTTTCTTTCAGTTGTAGACCAGTGACAGAAACATCCATCTGACTCCAACTCTTTTTTGACGTGAGGGTAGATACACCTTGATTAAAAAGTATTATTTGACCATAGGTCCAACAGGCTAGTCTTACCTTCATTTGGCAAGAGTGGAAATACTCTGATCCTGCAAATATCTCTGAAACGGTTCTTGGCAAAAGTGCCATGGCTTGATTTACTTGATTTACAGCCTGCTTGATTTACTTTAATGCCAAAAATTAAAGTAAAAATTTACTTTAATGCCAAAACAGCTAAGCACATATTTATATCTCATGTTGGACATGCTTGGACTTCCAAATGCTAAGAGGTCCTGAAGGCCTTGGTGTAATAAGATGTAAAAGCTTCCATGGATATGGTGCACTATCAGTTCCAGACACTGTATTTAACAATAACAACAACAATGTTGGAAAGGAACTTGGAGGTCATCTAGTCCAATCCCCTGCTCAGGCAGGAAACCCTATACCATTTCAGACAAATGGCTGTCCAGTCTCTTCTTAAAAACTTCCAGTGTTGGAGAATTCACAACTTCTGGAAGCAGGTTGTTCCACTGATTAATTGTTCTGTCAGGAAATTTCTCCTTAGTTCTAGGTTGCTTTTCTCTTTGATTACTTTCCATCCATTGCTTCTTGTCTTGCCTTCAGGTGCTTTGGAGAATAGCTTGACTCCCTCTTCTTTGTGGTAACCCCTGAGATATTAGAACACTGCTATCATGTCACCCCTAGTCCTTGTCTTTATTAAACTAGACATACCAAATTTCAGCTATCGTTCTTTGTATGTTTTAGACTCCAGTTCCCTGATCATCTTTGTTGCTCTTCTTTGTACTCTTTCTAGAGTTTCAACATCTTTTTTACATCGTGGTGACCAAAACTGGATGCAGTATTCCAAGTGTGGTTTTACCAAGATCTTCTAAAGTGGTATTAACACTTCATGGGATCTTGATTCTATCCCTCTGTTAATGCAGCGTAGCACTGTGTTGGCTTTTTGGGCAGCTGCAGCACACTGCTGGCTCATATATAAGTGATTGTCCATTAGGACTCCAAGATCCCTCTCACAGTTACTGCTGTTGAGCCAGGTACCACCTATACTATATCTGTGCATTTGGTTTTCCTTGCCTAAATGTAGAGCCTTACTTTTTTCACCATTGAAACCTTACTTTTTTCACCATTTCACTCAGTTACTTAGAACACTATTGTCCAAAATGATCAGATCAATTAAATTCAGCAGTTACTTCAGACTATACGACATAGATTTTCATCAAAGACAACATAGATTTTGTGTGTTGATTTTGTTCCGAAATTAAATATTCCACTCTGCTACTTTTCAATGGATCCTATTTTCATGCAGAATTTTTGTAATGGTAGAGTCATTCACATTGACTTTAGCCCAGATGGGAGAAGCCACAACTTCTTGGATCTTGTTCTGTTCTGTGTTTGTGTGATTTCTGTGGTCAGCAGTCTTGGAAGGATTCCGACAGATTGGGTTGGCTACCTGTGGGAAGAATTATTATTGTCCCTAATCTTCTCCATCTCAAGACTGATAATTCCAAATGAATTGAGTCATCAGAGATTCCTCTTTAGTTGGCTATGACCAGCCTGTAGAATCTGTGAGATGAGCACTTCATTGTGAAGAAAAGAGCTAAGGTTTGTGAGATTTATCTAGGACAGAGCTGGCTCTAATTAGTACTCAACCAATTTGGCCATGATTATCCCTTTAATTGACTTTATAGCAGTAGGGGGCAATTAATTTTTTACATACTGAGATATCACATGTTTGATGACTTTGTTCACCAAATAAATGAAGCAAATTCTAAGAACTTGTTGTTCTTAGACTTACTTTGTATCAGAAAGATCTCCAATAAGCTCTAATAATGTTAATTGGCAGAATATGCAATACTTTAGAAAATCTGAAAGGAGCAAGTACATGATAGAAACATAGTTCAGAGATTCCAATGTTTGGGATATAAGTATACTAGGCATACTATATAGAAAAGAAAGAGTAGAAAAGAGTGAAGGTGAAGTTGCCATTTATGTCAAGGACGGTAAAGAGACAACACTAAGTTAGAAAATACATGATCTACTTGTATTGTATTGTAATTGGTTTACTTTTCTTATATTGTATTGTACTAGTATTGTACATGGTCTGCTTACAAACTAAAAAGAGATCAGTATTCAGAATTGATATCATGAACAGCCCCCTAGGCCAGTGATGGAGAACCTTTTTGAGACCGAGTGCCCAAAAACTTCCCTGCCCCCAGTTCTGCCCCCAGTCCACCCCCTCCCCCTGCCCCCCTGTCCCGCCCACCCACCCCACCCATCTGCATGGCCACTCATCACCTCCATGGCCCACTGCACTTTGCCCAGGCAGCCCAGCAGCACCATGGTGGCCATGCCCTCCGCCCGCGCCCTGTAGCATCATCTGCACATGATGGGGTGCGGGGGCGGAGACTTATCCCTGCTGCTCAACTGCTATGTCCTTGGCTGTGCTGCTCCGCGTGGGCTGCACCTGGGGGTGACTCTCCTCTGGGCGGGCTGCTGGTGAGGAGGGGGCCACGGGGGAGGTGGGGCTGTGACGACAGTGCGCGTGCCCACAGAGAGGGCTCTGAGTGCCACCTCTGGCACGCATGCCACCCCTGGCACAAGTACCATAGGTTCACCACCACTGCCCTAGGTCATTCTGACAATTATGATAGCATTCTGATTAAGCAGATAACCCAGATGGCAATGAAGGGAGAGGTTGTAATCATGGGTGACTTCAACATGTCCGACATTAAGTGGAATCTTTCAACTGTACTTACAAGCAGGAGCAGGGATATGTAAGAGGCATTAAAGATGCCTGTCTAAAATAGTTAATAAAATGCCCAACAAGAGGAGCCCATATTCTAGACTTAGTTTTTACAAATGGATATCGGTTACCAGAAGTTGAGGTGAGGGAAAACTTAGGTTCCAGTGATCACCAATGCCTTTAGATTGATGTTAAACCTAAAATTGATATAACACACACTGAAACTAAAGTTTTAGCCTTAAAAAGCCAACAATTTTTACCAAAATGGGGGAGTATCTAAAACATAACTTAAAGAGTGGCATACAGTGACAGGAATCAGTGCTCAGTAGCCATTTTGGAAACAACTCGTCTTTATGTGAGGCACGTTAGTAAAAGCTAAAGAAATACAAGCCCATTCTAGTTCACATCTGATATACATAGAATAGTAAAAGAGAGAAAAAAATCAGCATATAGCAAATATAAGAATAGTGGCAATGTACTGTAGATGGTAGAGAGGTGTATAAAAACCTACAGAAGAAAGACAAAGAAGTTATTAGTGCTGCTAAAGCACAGAAAGAGATGAACTGGCTAAATCTATTAAAAAGAGGATAAAACCTTTTTTGAGATACATTAGCGACAGGAGGAGAAAAAAATGTACATGAGGGGTCCTTGGTGTTTTCTGAGCTTGGTGGTTTTCTTGCAGATGTTTCATTACTCAAACTAAGGAACATCATCAGTGCTAGTAAGGAGTGCAGATTGCTGTCCATTTATGTTTTAGTGGCTTGCCCTATGAGTGTTGGTGGGGGTGGTCTTAGAGATTCTTTGATTGGGTTGTTTGCTGTTGGCTTCATTGGCAGTTTCTTAATTGGGGTATTATTTATTTGATTTTGGTCTGATGTTAATTTTGGAGTTGATCTATGCTGATCTGGGTGCTGATTGCTGGTGGGGTTGTGCAATCACCAATTTTTATTTTAAAGTGCAATCACCAAAATTAAAAAAAAATGCAAACAATTCTTATGTTAAGGGAGACCTGACTATAGAAACCATCTAAACAAATTCTTTTGTTCAGTCTTCTAAGCAGTAGATGACAGTAACAAAAATAGGATGGAAGTTCATACCAGTCCTACCAGTCCTAGCAGTGCAGGTTCTTTTTTGGGGGTATTGGAGTTGGCATGTGAGCTAGCCCACTTAAATCCTAATAAAGTAAAGGGTCTGGATGGTATTTATTCCAGAGTTCTGAGGGAACTTCTAGATGTGCCCTCTGGATCATTAACTGATCTGTTTAACCAGTTTAACAGATGATGTTCCCCAGGACTGGTGAACATGTAATATTGTACCCATTCACAAGAAGGGAGTAGGGAAGAAGCGGGAAACTATAGACCAGTGAACTTAACATCTACAGTAGTGAAGTTAATGGAATCACTCATGAAAAAAATGATTAATGAACATTTAAAAATGCACAACTTGATAGATCCAAACCAGCATGGCTTTATTGAGGGTGGAAAATGTTAAACTAATCTGATTAACTTTTTTTAACAATATCACAAATATTTTGGATGAAAGTGGGCATAGCCTATCTGTATTTTAGCAAAGCATTTGATACAGTTTCACATAATGAACTGATTTAAAAAAACTTGTAGGAGCTAGGACTTATTCTGTTCAATGTGATATAACAGAAGGATTGCTAGGTAAGATTTGTCTTTTTGCTGATGACAAAAAAGGTGTGTAATAAGAGTTGATGTTCCTGGGGGCATTCATAGCCTAGGTTCCTCAGCCACTTTTGAAATTTGTCAGACATGAACTCTGTTCCCCTATCTGTTTGCAACTGGCATACTTTATGGCCATATCTTTGCTCTACATTGCCTGAACTGTTGTAGGATATCTGTTTTGCTCTTTAATAAATAGCAAAACCCATATGTGGTGTAGTCATCTACTAAGACTAGTACGTACCTAGTTCCTCCTAGAGAGGGTGCCATATGACCA